CTGCAGATGAGGTTAAACATTGCACTTTTGGTAGTATAGAAATACACAGTAATTCAGAGACAGCATATCTTTCTTCTATATATGTCTATTGCATTTTTGGGATGGGCCAAGCCCATCTCTTTTCTGCAAAGGTGTCTTTGGCATAAGCAGGTGGAGATGTGTTGCTGAATCACTCCAAAATTACACAAAAGATTAATGTTCTAAAGTGTCTCAGTCTACCTCAGTTGAAATCCAGTGTATTATTGGAAAGGAGATCTCATCTAAGGCACCTAAAGGAATTCAATAAGTCCTCTTGATTTATTATGGAGAAATTTATGACATGTCACATACTTATGTTAATTTGTTATTTATAACCACAAAATAACTGTTGCATTCCTAAATATTAGTTATATTTGCATGAATTAATTTTATATTAAGTCAACTTTGCCTAGTATTATAAAAGATATTTAGAGTTTGTACTTCCTCATGTCTGTTCCATAGAATTTTCTTTTAGCTAGAAATTTGCCAGGAGAAAAGATGACTAGTTTAATGATTGTTTATAATAAAATAATCTATCTCAATCTCAATTCTTATTCATTACCACACATTTTGTTTTCTTCTAAACTTTTGAAATTAAAATAATTTGTTTCAGTCATCAATTTTGCAATAACTTATAATCTTCAGTTGAATGAAGGTGACGTTGAACAGCTGTTAAAATTCAAGTGTATTCATGCTGTAATGCATACCTGTGGTCCTAGCTTTCAGGAAGTAGAGGCAGGAGATTCAGCTTGACTAATCAGACAGCAGAGCCAGTCCAGGCTACATGTTGTCCTGTCTCAAAAACAAACAAACAACAAAAAGAGAGACAATGAGAACATATTATTCAGACATTAATGGGGACCTTTAAAGGACTTAGAGTTTTTGCATGCTATAAAATACAATAAAATAATGATTATTTGCCTTTTTCTTTGCACATTGATATTTGTTGTTAAATCTACCATTTTATGGTATTTAATTTCTATCTGGCAAGTCACAGATGAATTCATTCTGTTTAAGTTTTTGATCATATAGTTGACTAGATAGTAAGAAAGTGCCCCATTTTAGAACCCTTACAAGCTGAATGTAAAATATAAGTAGCATCTTTTATGCACACAGATTAGCCATAGACAAAAGAGTCTGTCAAGAAGCATGCAGCTTTAGGAGGAAATGCAGTAGCTGCCTAGGGGGAGTTTGTTCTTTGAAATACTTGCTTTGAAGTACTTTGTACATCTTGTCTCATTACTTTCTTTAAAAGGTCCATGCAAAGGAAAGCTTTCAAAGCTGTGCAAAGTAGGAAGTAAAACAGTAATGATTAGAGGTGACTATAACTTATGAATATCCAGACCTTAGATAAAAGCATACATGTGATCAGAATTCTGCCAACAGCTGACGGCCATCAAGATGGGATCACTCTGTGTCACCCAGGATTACAGGATAGGAACAAAATCCCCCTCCCCAACCAATCACCCCATGAATTTGCTCTCAAAATTTAATCACACAATAAAATTAGTTTCACAACTTCCAAGAACCCCCTCTTAATGTATACCACACTAAGGTAACTCAAATACAGAACCAGTGATCAAGTTCATAATTAATTCCAAATTGCAGAGTTGGATTATCTTTGATTATGAGAACCCAAATAACAGTAATGTTATTATTATTATTATTATTATTATTAAAAAATAAATGCCAGCAATTAGAAAATAAGCATGCTTACAAGATTATGAGTTAAAAAGTCATATCTATGATAGTGAAATAGTTGTAAAGCAAAACACTTGCTTTGAATACTAGAAACAATACTATAAAAATATGGTGTTTATGCTTAAAAAACTCCAGTTGTTAGTTGCGGTGCAGATTAGGTATTAATGAGTAGGGCATTAGAGAGATGAATGATAAATCTGAGAACTTCTTCCAGAAGGCTGTACAGATAGGATGGTGCTGGCTGGGAGAGAATGAATAGGAGAGATCTAGACACAAAACCAATGGGAAGAATGAGAGACAGAGGAGAAAATGAGGGACATGCCTGGGTCAAAAAGCCAGGCTAACACCACTAGATACAGATACAGCAGGAAAGTAAGATATACAGAAAGAAAGAAGATTAAAAATCCCCAAGGTAAAACATAGATAAAGAGAAGCAGGTTAATTTAAGTTAAAAGAGCTAGCCAGGCCGAGCATTCAAAACTAATAATAAATCTGTGTGTTATGATTTGGGAGCTGATTGGTGGCCCAAAAGGAAGAGCCTGGTACAATAGTAAATCCAAATATACCAATAATAAATATAATCAATAAATTGAAAATTTTACAGGAATATTATATAACTAGCTTTACATGTTTAACCTTGTTCTATTTGCAAGAGACTCAGAGAAAAATAAAGTTGAATTTAATACCAAGAAAAACTGTCCTAACAGACACATTAATGATGAGAACATTGGGAAATGGTCTGGTTAGTTTTCGTCAACTAATGCAAAGAAAAGTCTCAGATGAGGAGGGAGCTTCATTGATGAAATATCTCCATCCAGTTGTGCTATAGACACGTAAGCATATTTGAGTTTGTTGGGGGAGTACAATGTGCAGCACTACCATTGAACAGATGGTCCTTGGAAGTATAAGAAAGGAATTGAAGATGGTCCTGGAGGCAACCGAATAAGCATCGTTCCTTCATGATTCTTGTCTGTGCTCTTTGAGTTCCTGCCCTGGCTTTCTTTAGTGATGGTCTGTGCCTGGGACATGTAAGCCAAATAAGCCATTTCCTCCCCCAAGATGCTTTTGGTCAGTGTTTAATCACAGCAACTAGAACAACAGATGAATGTGATCTTTCCAAAAATAAATTCAAATAGATAAAATCCATAAAACTAAGAGAGGTTTAATTATTCAATAACTTAGCTTTGAAGTGAACAAAACAAAAATTAATAGACACTCACATGGAAACATCAAAAAACTTACGGCTTTGATGGAGTTTTAATATTTCTTCCTTACTAATGAATTCAAAGTCAATCCAAAGTTGTTTATTTCATTAAACAATTCTATCTCATGATATTTAATAGGTTAGTGTAGTGAACAAGTAAAGAAAATCTTTGAGAAAATAATGCATTTAAATATGCAATGAAATATATAAGACTATACATAATTGCAAAACTAAAGGCTTCTGCTGACTCAACCACTGTGTAAATGGAAAACAGTTGTTAGTATCAATATAACTGATGAGGTTTGAACAGTTCTGCACTGTATCTTTTTGATGGTTAACATTTGTATGTTTGCATTTATCAGTGTTTACTAATTGTACAAAAGAAAACAGTTTAAGATTTCCATGTACGCATGTACTGAACTTTGATCATATTTACCCTTTTTTACTTTACCCTCGACACTCCATCTTTTCTCCTTAGTTGTGCACTGTTTTTCTTCTTTTGTCCGTTTCATTATGGTTCTGTTTAATTTTTAAAGATTTTTTAATTTAAACATTTTGATCTATTTTAATTTGAATTAAACATTTTGGTGATGGTTTTCTTTCCCCTGACCCTCCTTCTCCAAGAATCTTCTCATTTTCCACCGACCCAACTTTATGTTCTATCTTTCTCCTCCACCTCCTATCAAAAACCAAACCAAACCATAAAAGAGACAGGGTATAAGGCAAAGAGATGCCAAAATGAATCAAAAGTCCACTAAAAAACATGGAGTTCACTTTGGTGTGTTAACTTTTGAGGAATATTGATTGTGACTGAGTGACTTAACAGGTACCACAGGCCAGCCAGGATATCGATCTCCTGGAAGTGGAGTCAGGAACCAACATGTGGACCCTGAGGACAGAGTCCAGACCCCTTGCAAGAGCAGTTAGCGCCTGTGACCAGTGACTCTTCCCTTCATTCCTGTGCAGTAAACTTTTAAAAATGTATTTTCTGTTATACAATAGGATTCATATTCTATAAATTATAGTGACCTTTTTAAAAAGTTATTTCCAATCCCTCTCTCTCTCTCTCTCTCTCTCTCTCTCTCTCTCTCACTCTCTCTCTCTCTCACACACACACACACACACACAAATTTACATATGCAGAAATGGGGAATTAACTGTGTCAATACTCTTAAGTGTAAAAGTTATATAAAACTTAAATGCTAAGGAGTAGGATATCACTTATTAGGTACAGGAATTTCAGCAACAAAAATAATCCCTCAAAATATCAACAATTATTGTATATCTGATATTGTCTTAACACCTTATATGGGAGACAAACCTGTATTATAAATGATTGTACAGTGTTAGAATTGTACCTCTGTGGTTTGGATGAGGTGCGTAAGATGTAAATAGTTGAGTAAATAGTCTGATGTCACAACAGTAGCAACAGAGAGATAGATAACAATCATTTCACATAGCATATCTCCTAAGTCAGACTCTGATTATGTTGTCTAAACTGTGGTCTGTGGCATTCTAAATATGTGGGAACAAGTGTATCATTAAGGGATGCTCTTTAACATATAGTACAGTAATACACAGAGCCCATTTATGTAAAATGCCAATTTCCTCACACCCTCTTAAATATACTTTTCAGTCTTTGAGAATGTTTGCTAGTTTGGAAAGGAAACTATAGATGGTTTTAAAATACATCCCTTACCTGTAAGCTCTCAATCTTGAAATTCTTTCATTGTATAAAGTAGTGTTATACTATTTTCCTATAGTAAATCATTCCTGAGCATCATAAACTATGTTTTGTAACAATACAATGAAATTTTGCAGAAAAATTCAAAACAAAGCAGGGTTTTATTTCTTAAATTGGGTCTACTAAATAGGAAGGTATCTCATGACTAAGTATTACGTGTTTGCTATTAAACTCAGATTAAACTTTTTTTCCAGATTATTCCTTAGTCTTCATCTGTGTTCTATTAAATTTGAGGGAATAGACATCATGATCCATGTAACTGTGACTATAAGTCATAATGATTGGCATTTGTCTGCAAACATCTTTTAATTCGATTTCTCCTTTCTCTTCTAGGAAAGATTTCTGTGTCCATAAAGATGAGCCATGTGATACTGTAGGTAAGTACCTGTGAAAAACTTTTGGTTGAAGAACACTGGAGAACTTACATGTACATGTTGTTTATATATAGTAACTTATTTGAGGGTGCTGACTTTGGAGGGTTATTTTTACAATGTCATAAATGTACATATATTGCAACTATGTGTTAAATCCTACCTTAACACTTCAGCTACTAATGAAACAACTTAAAGTCATACATAAGCATACACTGGAGACATTTTATGTATTTTAAGACTATCATCAATTCTTTTTTGTCTTTTCCCAGATACAGAGATACAATCAATAGCATTTTATTATTGTTGGCAACACAGGGCTAAATTCATTTGCAATATGAGAATAAGTTATATTTGAGTCATATATTATTCAAGTTATTTGCAGTGTATAAAAAGAAATACATCTACTTTGACTGACTAGTGAAGGCTCTTTGGGCACCAAGTGGCAGTTTTCCAATTTTTAGATTGATGTCAAAAAATCCCAGTAAGATAATCCTGGAGCCAGTAGAATGCATGTACCTGTCTTTCTGGCTATTGGGTCAATGTGCACACGCATGTCTGTTAAAATAAGTGCAACTGTGTTAGTATTTGTTAAAAGAAAGGAGACTTGGCAGAGAGATGGCTCAGCAGCTAAGAGCACTGATTGTTCTTCCAGAGGATCTGGGTTCAGTTCCCAGCACACACATGGCAGCTCACAACTCGCTCTAATTCCAGTTCTAGGGAATCTGATGGCCTCTTCTCATTTTCGCTGGCTCCATGAATGCACATAGTGCACAGACATGTGCAGGCAAAACATTATGCACATGAAATAATTTTTAAAAGAGATTTATATATTACACACACACACACATATATATAGATGTATATTCTTTTGTTTCATGTTAAGTGGATGTAAACAGCATTATTGTTAAGATACATTCAAGAGTTATGATCTGATTTTGACATAGATCATGTAAGGTTTCTATCTGTAGGGTACCAAGTATTTTAACATCCCCACCTTCGGATTCTCATTTCTTCAATGAAAAATGAGCAGTTAAAAATAGATGGGGCTGGAAAGACGGATGAGTCATTAATTAACATCACTTGCTTCTCTTCAGAAGATAGATTCACTACAGCACATAGTTCCAGTTCCTGGGAATCCAACCCTCTTCTGGTCTCTAAGAATGTCCATGTCCATGGTACATCATATACATACATATAGACAAACCAGTTCTACACAGAAGAAACTTTTAGGTAGCTAGAAATTTAAATGACAAAGTAGTTCCATTACTTTTATTTCTCGTCATTACTGTCATATATTTCAATTCTTGGATAATATATTACAATGCAAATGATGGAATCTAGGGATTACTTGACTTAGAAGGGTCTGTCAGTAATGTAAGAGCTAGACACCCAAGGAAGCCTGACTTCACTCAGACATGGCCTTCCTCATGGTCTCACTGCTTTCCTGTAGTTTTTCTTTCCCCAAGCACTAAAACATAGCATGGTTTCAGTCATCCTAACCATGGAATATTTGCTTACCACCCACTCTTATTCAACAGGGGTGCACTTGTACACACATTCACATACACCCAGCTCTTTAAGTGGCAGCATATCCATGGCTCATCAAGTTCAAACAAGTACTGGGACTCAACCACTGAGGTGGCATCTGTGTGAGGGGTCTCAGCCCTTCCAGGATGCCAGACCCAAGCCAGTTTAGCATATGAAGTTGCCCTGGTCAAGACTGAAATCTGTCTCATGTGTGCTTCACTGAGCCATAAATGTTTCTTGTATATACCCAGCAGATATGAATGAGGAAAATTCAACTGTAATAATTACATTACAAGGAATCAGGGTCTACGATTAATGTATTATTCTCCACTAAGTAATGGAGAGAAGGGAAATGTCTTTCAGTGGACACTTAAACCATAGAGTCTAATCTCAGAACACATTTTAATGTTTGGGTTTATTAAAGTGTTATCCAATGTAAATCCCTATTATTGAAACCAGTTTAAGTCTTCTGTTTATGTTATTTCAAGATGTGGGTAAAGAGATGTAGCCTGATCCTTGTGTATTCTGTAACAAAACAGAAGAGTATCAGACAATATTAGTAACTTCTCTTCTGTAATCAGGAAAATAGTTGATGTTTCTCTTTGATTTGTTAGGAAGTATAACAGACCTAGTTACTATACAGTGTGTATGTATCCAGCCATCAATTTGCACCTCACAAATATAGAATACCATGTCAATCAAATATGTACATAATTGTATGCATGGCTGTTGGAGAATATGCTATTTCACTGCAAGACAATTTTCTCTGTATGGTGATTATACATGGATTTATCTTAATTTTAATTTTTGGTGAGAAAAATGTTTCTAGGTTGATTAGTTTTAAATATAAGAGCCATCATGTAAAAAAAAAATTAGTTCCCCTGTGGGTTAGCACACACTGACACTTACAAAGCAGCTGCTTTGGACAGGCACTCAGTACATAGCCAGGTCTGTCATATCCTCTTCCTCAGTGAGGTATTGTTTGTATCACTGTTAGTATATGGGAGTGTGAGCTACAGTCCCAGACCTCATCACTATAATGTGAGCCATTTCTTATAAAACAGTGCATTCATGAAATGGAGAAAAGTAGAAGTGCACGACACATTGCTATATCTGTTACCTGGGAGTGTGAGCTTCTATCCCATTAACTAGTGACTGTGATGTGAGGGCTTCTTTCTTTTTGTTTGATTAGTTTCATTAGTTTATTTTGATAAAGGTCCTCACTATGTAGCACTGGCTGATTGGTAGCACACTATGTAGACTAGGCTGGCCTGGAACTCACAAATCCATTTACTTCTGCCTCCAGAGCACAATAATTAACACTAGTGAGTAGTGTCAGTCAGTAGGGAAAAAAGTGACAGTGAAATTACTGCCTGATTGAAAGATTTTACACTGTGCAAGATTGGAGAGATTACACTTTGGGCTGAGTTCCAGCTCCCCAGTATCCCAGTGCTCTCTTCACCCTGTTGTTAAGACAGGGTGCTTCAGGTTTCAGACACCACAATATTTTTTCAATAGATAAGTTTTTGTCTTTGAACAGGTTAGGATGATATAGTTTATCCTCTCTGAGCTTTGGAATATTCTTTTGTTGTTAAAATGGCATACAGACCACCTATGGAGCAACTGCTGTGGAGAAACACATCCAGATATGGAAGTTATTTAAATAACTCAAATATGTTGACAGGTTTTGTGTAAGCATTCATGTACTTGTCCCTTTCCCGACACTAGCTCATTTTCCATTTCTGTGGACGGAATCATTTTTATTCAGTGAGAGGAAAGAGTTAAGCCTCATTTTAAGGCTTAGTTTTCATTGCACAGCATTTTCTCCCATATCATGGCTCCAAAAGCACAGGGAAGTACTGAGACTTTAAACACTTAAAAGGAACTCTGAGGTCAACTCTCTATTTAATGCCTTTTACACCCAGTTTTATATTTCATATGTACATAAAATGTTTGAATCCAATCCACCTCACCACCCCTTCCCTTCCAATCCTTTCCTTCCTCCTTCCACATTTTCCTCCAAAATTCATATACTCCCTCTCTTTTTTGAAGTAATTCTTAAGTTTGTTTTCTTGTGTTTCAGCTGCATTGCAATGTTCAGATTTTTGCTATTGTAGGATCACTGGGTTCTGCTTGTGCCATATTGCTCTTTTCGTTGTTGAATGGGTTCTTACACAAGCATTTACTCATCTGTTCTTCCAGCTGTTTCGGTTTGCACTTGTACCTTTGTAGTCTGCTGGGGTTGTTGGGGAGGGCTGGCCACAGGAAGGATGTTCAGGTGCATGTGGTTTGGCAGCAGAGTGGGTCTTGGAGGGACAGTCTATAGGGTGGCGGGGTTGGGCACAGCCTGGAGGCGGGTCTCTTAGGTTCTTGCAGGCTGATGGGAAATGCAACAGAGCAGTGACATTCCACCAGAGGTGGGAACAGGGTCCAGCTGCCATGCTGGTGCTGGGATTGGAGGAGGAGGGGGCACAGGATATGTCCTGGAGTTTATTTAGGGTCTGGACTTTGGAGCACTCCAGCTGAGAGGTCAGTCATGGTATGGCTCCATCATCAGAGGCTCTAACCCTCTGAAACTAAAAGCCCAATTGAGTTCTTTGTTTTATAAGTTGCCATGATCATTCTGTTTATCAAAACAATAGGAAAGTAAGTAAGGAAAAATGGTATGAGTATTTAAATTGTAAAGCTAGCCTCAGTGACATATTTCCTCCAATAATCTGAATCCTCTAAATCTTCCTAAATAATGCCACCAGCTGAGAACCGAGGGTTCAGTACATGAGACTATGGATGACATTATTATTCAATCCACCACATGGGTTATTGAAATTCACCATTAGCATTGTCTTGTGTAAACTAGTGATTTTAAATCTAATAGTTTTTTGTTTGTTTTATGAAGTTGGGTATTCCTCCATTTGGTGTACATATATTTAGGATTTTAATAATATTCTATTCTTGAATTTTTCCTTTAATAATTATAAAATTATCAGTCCTTAGCTCTTCTAATTAGTATTGATCTGAAATCAGTTTTGTTGCATATTAGAATAGCTACATCTGCTTGTTTCATTTGCTTAGACTACTTTTTTTCCTAATCTTTAACCATAAGGTATTACGAGCAGTTTTCCCACCAGCCTGGTCCCAGAGCCTCATCAGCCCCAAATAACATACAGAGATGCTCTATTAGATATAAAGCTGTTGGCCTATTACTATAGTTTCTTATTGACTAGCTCTATCTTAAATATTAACCCATTTCTATCAATCTAAGTATTTCCACATGGTCTTAGCTTACTGGAAAAATGGTCCGGACCTCTTACTCCTCTTGGTCCTACATTTTGAGTCTCCTACTACATCTCCCAGAACCCTCCTTGTCTCCTAGTCCCACCTATCTTGTCAACAGTACTTTATTCATTAACCAATAAGAGAAACATATTTACAGAATGATAGCTCCCATCAAAAAGGTGTTGCCTACTGTTGGGCAT